AAAAAAAAAAAAAAAAAAAAAAAAAAAAGGAAGAAGAAAACGTCGCCACGGAGACGCACTCCTTGACTTTTTTTTTTTTAATTCTATTTTTCCTATATTTTCTCGCCTTTGTTGTTCGGCCCACACGCTTGTCAGTTGTCACCTACGCATATCTATTTATTTATAATTTTTATTTTAACATTTATTTATGTCATGTATATAATTATTTGCTTTTATGAAAGGGAAAGGGCCAAGAGGAGTGACCCTTTTCCTTCACTGAAAAAATACACAAATTCTTGGCAATTTTGGAATGAACCAGAAGTGAGGAAACAAGGAACTCTTTCCAGTGTTGAAATGTGGGAATTAGGTTGCATTTTTTTCTATTTTACTTATACGGATAATTAATTATCATTATTCCGGCATGAAAAGAAGAAAAATATCCTTGCCTAAACTTTCCTATAAATTTTGAAATATGTACAAGGTTTTCAACATTTTCCCTTTTTCAACCCTCCTTTCATATCTACTCCTAGCATCAGGAAATACTATTTCTGGCTTTCAACTTTATGCTAATTCTACGCGTATTGAAAAATAACAAATATTAAAGCTATAAATACTTAATACATTCACCCAAAAAAAAAATGCTATATTACGAATAAGAATGAATAAATTATGGAATTAGGTGTTTTACATAAGTATAGCACAATTAACTTCACTTAGATAATTATATAATTTCAAAATATACTAAAATATATTTTAAAGTTATTATTTAATTTTAACAAAATTTTATATAAACATATAAAGTAGTATAAATTTTCAATTTAACGGTTGAATTTATAAAATTTACATTTAATATAAAGTTATTGAGCGGTATAATACTTAGTAAAAATTACACCAGTGTTATTATAACCATTTTCTTTTAAAATATTATTTTTATAAATTAAATTTTAATATTTTAAATAAATTATTAATTAACTTAATATATTTATTCATCTTAAATCTAAGATATAAAATTCAAAAATATATTTATTCTTGTTTTATTTTCTAATTATCAACCATTAATAAAATACTAATTTAAAATCTTATCTAATTATATCATAATATTTTCATATCAAATTTAAAACCAGATATTAGTATGTTATTTTTTATCATCATTAATTTATAAAAATAAAAAATTTAAAATGATAATTTTTAATAATATTTATTTTTTACCAAATATTCTTTACATCACTTAGAGCATAAAAAAGTTTATGTGTACATAACGTTATCTACAGGAAGTTTTCCGTAGACAACCCACGAAAGTTTATGTGTAGATAACGTTATCTACAAAAAGTTTTCCGTAGACAACCCACGAAAGTTGTTATAATCCATAGATAACTAAACATTATCTGCAGAAAAAATTTCGTAAGTAATATTCTATAGATAACTAAAAATTATCTACAAAAAAAATTCCGTAGATAATATTTCATAGATAACTAAAAATTATCTACAGAAAAAATTATGTAGGTAATATTTCGTAAATAATAATAGTTTTTCTTGTCGTGTATCCTCCAAGTACTATGTCCCTCCAATATCAGGTTAGAAACTAAGTTCCTAATCTTGTACTTTACTTAATTGATTTCTTAATACATGTATACGTCAGTCTTGCCCACGTACGAATATCACATAAAACCTAGAGGAGATAACTCAAAATAACTACTCATTTAGAAGCTAATTTACTTATTGAGAAGTTTCAACTAGGCTCTTAGAGCACCACAACATATATCCACACAATGGGATATTCTAATTTTCAAAAAAAATTTACTCTCTTCTAGTTTTTATATACTATAGCTAAGACGTACATGTATTTAAACCACACACATAGAACTTTAACAACATGAATAACTTTAGCAGCATACAACTTATACAACTTTATCATCTATCAACTTGCAACTTTACAACATAATCATCAGCATGCAACATGTCAACCTACAACATATAGTTTCGTTATCATTCATACAACTTACTCATCACCATTCAACTATAAAACAACTTAAGAACAATTGTGGTTGATACAAAGTCTCCCATTCTCTCACATTTGACGTGGCAAAACTCACACCTAACCCCAATCAAGTAGAAGACCTCTACTTGACTCACACTTGACACCACTTCCACTAGCACCCAACGTGGATCCAAGTAGCGATGATTCTCTCTCCTTACGCTCAACCTCACCAATCCTACACTTGACATCTAGAGAATGAGAACCCCTGACTTCGAACCACGCTCGACCCCATGAAGGTGTACTTGATGCAATATCAGTTTTTGCACTTATGCATAAATTGATTTTGCTCAATCCACCTAAAATTTAGCAACTTTTCAACATGCATTGTACAAAACCAAATTCAAGCATCACAAATAGCTCAAAAACAACTACATTTACAACATGCAACCACCAACATCAAATATCATCACATTCAACACACAACCACTTCAAGAAAACCCCAAATCCAAAAGTCATCAACCCAACGAATTCAACAAGAACTACAACACAAATCTAGTGATTATAGACAACAACATTTACCATGCATCTAACAAAAATCAACACAAGTTCTCTTACCTTGTCGGCCTCGAATCCAAAAAGATGAGAAGAGAAGAGTAGGTCCATACAACTTCCAACTTGAGACTCCAACCTTGGAAGCTCAAATACCCCAGCTAGCTAAGTGAATCAACTATAGGAAGGAAAGGAAGATTTTTAGAAGAAGAAGAGGAAAAAGCTTCAAGTTCCAAAGAGTTTCTCTCTAACTTCTCTCTAGAGTTTTTAAAACATAGAATTATGAGCTCATTTCTGAATAAAATCTTTATATAATCTTCTTGAAGTTGACATAATTTATATCTAACTCAACTACCTCAAAGACCAACTTAACCTTCAAAGTCATTTGACTCTAAGATTCTAAGACAACACTATTAACAACAACCAGCAATATATCACAAAATTAAAATCAAAACACCTAAAACTCACAATATTATAACTCCAACTCATGTTGCACACAAAATTGCTAACGAGGTTTTGTCTTGAAAATTTATATGTTTGTCGGTCCAAACCCTCACTATTAAGTATATATTTGTTTTCAATTTAAAGCTGCGTTAAAAAAAAAAAAAAAAAAAAAGGAGTTTCAATAAAGAAAAAATAAATCAAAAGTTTGCAAAGTATCATTTTTTTTTCCTCATCAAACACACTCTAAATATGCCTTGAGCACCGATGACCGATGCTAACCAATATTTACCTAACGGTTTCCGCACTTCACGTCATATATAGCTGCATAAAGCTAACAACATGCAAAAGTTATTAACTACCACATACTTAGAGCTGCAAAAGTTAGTAATTACCACGAAAGTTGGTAATTACTTATTAACCAAGATAAAAACATCTTATCTCGATCACTTTAAAAGTTTACTTTAACTCATGTACACAAAAAATTACCAACTGTTTTTACGAGGTTTTGTCTTGAAAATTCGCATGCTTGCACTACAACAAAAATTATTTTTAACGATAATTGTTTAATGATAATAATTTAATTGCCACTATTTAATTATATAATAAAATATTAATGGCTAATATATAATAGCCATTAAAAGTGTATTTATATTACACTAAAGTTTACTATTAGCGACAATTATTTATTGAAAAAAACTAATCCCACATCGATTAGAGATAAGATAATTAAATAGTATATAAGTGAGTAATAACTATCACCTTATAAGTTGATTTATAGGGTTGAGTTAGACTCTTAATTCACTATAATAAATTAGTATCAAATCACCCACTATTACCAAGTTCAATAGTGCTATAAAACAATTAGAGAACAACTTTCACCTTATAAATCTCACATCTCTTAAGAGATAAGATAATTAAAAAATATATAAATAGAAGACAACCCTCATCTTACAAATCTCACATCGACTAGAGATAAATTTAAAATGGCTACTAAAATTGCCACTAAAAAAATAAGTTTTCCCGACAATTTAGTAGGTCTTTACCAGCATTTTATATAAATGTCAGTAATAGTATTAGCGACACTGGATACATCAGCTATTATTTAAATGCTGGTAAAAAAAATAATGATCATTTATATGATCGCTAAAGAATAAATTAATTGCCACAAAAACCTAATTTTAGTGTAGTGTTGTCACATAAAGCCCTCACCATTATATAAGCCTTGAGCACCGATCCTAACCAACATCATAAGCATCCAACGATTTTCGCTCTTCATGTCAGATATACAGCATAAATTAGCTAACAATCTCACCTATAAATAAAAGAGACTTCATCCTTTACTCAAGTATGATCTAATATTCCATTTGTGTCGCTACTTTTTAAAAAAAAGTTAACGTGAACGTCAAAGTCCTTACAAACCACACTCGTTGTGTTCCACCATGCTTCACTCACTCTTTTAACTAATAATTAGGGACGTGTATAAAATGGGTGACGAGTTCATCTTTGTTTTTATCTGATCGAAAATGTATAATTTTCATTCCTGTAAGGTGTGAGAAAACGTATAATAACTAATATAATTGCCAAAAAGGAGAGCATGTAACAAAAATCATGCAAAGATAACAAAAAAAAAACTCATTCTTTTAAATCTTAACTTTTGGTCATCACCTAAAAATGAAGACGTGTGTGTGAATCTCGTGTGCATAACAATTAGTGAGTTCATATATGAAAGAGAGTCTTCATAATAATATGAAGGATTAAGAGGCACATTTTGTTATCGTAAGTTAA